ATACCTGGAGGGTGTACCTGGAGGGTGTTTTTGGAGGATGTACCTGGAGGGTACACTGGAGGGTACACTGGAGGGTGTATCTGGAGGGTGTACCTGGAGGGTACACTGGAGGGTGTACCTGGAGGGTACACTGGAGGGTGTACCTGGAGGGTACATTGGAGGGTGTACCTGGAGGGTAAACTGGAGGGTGTACCTGGAGGGTACATTGGAGGGTGTACCTGGAGGGTGTATTTGGAGGATGTACCTGGAGGGTACACTGGAGGGTGTACCTGGAGGGTAGACTGGAGGGTGTACCTGGAGGGTACATTGGAGGGTGTACCTGGAGGGTGTATTTGGAGGATGTACCTGGAGGGTACACTGCAGGGTACACTGGAGGGTACACTGGAGGGTACACTAGAGGGTGTACCTGGAGGGTACACTGGAGGGTGTATCTGGAGGGTACACTTAAGGGTGTATCTGGATGGTGTACCTGGAGGGTGTATCTGGATGGTGTACCTGGAGGGTGTACCTGGAGGGTACACTGGAGGGTGTATCTGGAGGGTGTACCTGGGGGGTGTACCTGGAGGGTACACTGGAGGGTGTATCTGGAGGGTACACTTAAGGGTGTATCTGGATGGTGTACCTGGAGGGTGTATCTGGATGGTGTACCTGGAGGGTGTACCTGGAGGGTACACTGGAGGGTATACTTGGAGGGTGTGCCTGGAGTGTACCTGGAGGGTATACGTGGAGGGTATACCTAAAGGGTAGACTTGGAGAGTATACCTGGAGGGCATAACTGGAGGGTATACATTGTAATGCATACGCTCCTAACAACCTCCGAAGCGGTGTTTCTGGACCGAGAGCTGTTGACCAACATCTTGGCACCTCATATGAAGGAAATACAGCACACACAGAGAGCCCGAGAAGAATTTTGTAAATCACAAATCTAAATGACGATCTGAATGGGAGATTTAGAGAGAGAGAGAGAGAGAGAGAGAGAGAGAGAGAGAGAGAGAGAGAGAGAGAGAGAGAGAGAGAGAGAGAGACGAGACAGACAGACAGACAGACAGAAAAAGAGAGAGAAGGAGAGAGTACATGAAAAAATAACGATGACAGAGGACTTTGAAGTCCACATTGAGTCCATCTGCTGGCAAGAACCATTCTCTACTATCTAGATTAAGCGTTATCGTGTTGTTATCTGGGTGTTTGAGGCAAGGATAGTGAAGCAGAAGGCTCTCTCCCCACTCCCCTCCTTCAGGCCACTGCCGGCGTGCCCCGGGGGTAGGAACGTACCATATTATAAGAAATGGCAGGGAATTTACAGATGTGGAAGACTTGGCTACATCTTCTGTGTACAATAACTACTATGTATATTGTAACCACTGTGTACCAGTAGTTCTACTGTGCATTACCACTAGTACTACTTCTAGATACAGAAGAACCCCAGTGGAAATAAGTCTGACTTTTTTTGGCTTATCCCAGGTTCTCTACACATATGTTGCTGTGTAAGTAACTGTATTTGTGAATACCTGAATAAACTTACTAGCGTGTACCACTGCTGTGGCTACCACAACTACCACCACTACTGTGGCTGCCACAACTATCACCACTGCTGTGGCTACCACAACCACCACCACTGCTGTGGCTACCACAACTACTACCATTCCAAGGTTCTTTTGAGGTCCTTGCTTGTGATTACTACTTATGGTGTCCCACTCGTTACCCTCGGCCATTCTGACTCTCCCCCCCTAACTGCTACTCTCTGTGCCCACCTTGTCAGGTACGAGGCCTGGTCATGGACTGGGCCGCTGGGGCGTTGACCTCCGTAGCGCTCTCCGGGTATACTACCAGATTATCTTTAACCCTTCTTTCTAAACCAATTTGTCGGTATTTATTACAAAGGTTCATGCCATCTTTTTTCCCTTTGCACCTGCTTATTCATTCAGCTTTTGGATTATTCTCTGGTGGGGCGCCATGTCAAACCACTTTCTGCATTCCAGTCTTGTTCGATCTTCGTAAGCAGTGGAGTTCCTGGAACTTTGTAAATGGTCCAAGTCGGACCGAAGCGTCGTCGAGAGCTTTTCTTTCTCCTGTGTGCGGGTTATTTGTGTATTATTCTTGGAACTTTGTTAGTAATCATGTACCTTCCAGTTTTTTTCTGCCCAGACGCTGAAGACATTGTGCCTAACGTCCTTACGAGTCACCTAGTGTAATTAGTTCCCATTTGTGACTCTCTGGTCACGTTCTTCTTCTTCTTCTTCTTCTTCTTCTTCTTCTTCTCTTCTTCTTCTTCTTCTTCTTAGGAGTCTATCAGTATCTGTTTTTCTATTCCTTTTGGTATTCTGTATGCTGTGACTGTGTTTCCCCCTCTTCCTCCATTCTATGTCGTAATTTTTCGTGCTTGCTACATATGCTGCGTGAGAGGACCTGAGGGAAGTGCCAAACGGACTGGTTAATGGTGGTTGTGCCATCTTAGTCAATACCTCGTCCTTGATTACTTGGTTTTTCCCCGCCTCCCACACCCTGAAGAAGCTACTCACCTGTCTCAGTTCCACGTTAACTGCTGCTGCACACTCACTCCAAATCTGGCAGGTCGTCGACTGCTGCGTGTCGCCACCAGTGTCTCTCCTTCTTTCAAAGTGTGAAGCTCTCACCTCTGAGGTTTGTTATGTATATAGATGACGTTCGTCTGTTCAAGGGCATACTGTATGCACACACTGTGGTACACTTGCAGTAATTCAGATATCTGAGTGAATGCTCAGTATTTGTGATTATTGATGAGTATAATGGGGCAAGGAATGATGTTTGGTTGACACAGTAGATGAAGTAGATTTAATAGAGGGTTTTTCAGTGTCTCAGCTTTGATATAAGGTGTTTAGGCCTTAAGTCTTGTAGAACATATTCAGTCTCTCATCCTTGAGAGGTGTTCAGTATCTCAGCCTTGAGAGAAAGTGTTCAGTCCCTCAGCCTTGTGAGACGGTGTTCAGTATCTTAATGCATTACTCAACATATCTACAAGTTGAAGTTTTATATACAACAGTATATATATATACACACTGAGAGGTGTCATCAGTATATATACACTGAAAGGTGTCATCAGTGTATATACACCCAGAGTTTGTCCTTGTTTTAGTGATTAACGAATTCTTAATTATAGTGTAAGAGTGAATTGCAGCCTTAATGACCTTCGTCCAGCTGACAGAATTTCACCAGAACTTATGTTGAGTGATTTATTTAGTGTCTGTCACACAGGACTCTGGTTGACCAGGATCTGGTGAAGTTGACTCCCTCACTCACCAGCCACACAACTCCAGCTGCTGCTCCACCAAGTTGACTCCCTCACTCACCAGCCACACAACTCCAGCTGCTGCTCCACCAAGTTGACTCCCTCACTCACCAGCCACACAACTCCAGCTGCTGCTCCACCAAGTTGACTCCCTCACTCACCAGCCACACAACACCAGCTGCTGCTCCACCAAGTTGACTCCCTCACTCACCAGCCACACAACACCAGCTGCTGCTCCACCAAGTTGACTCCCTCACTCACCAGCTACACAACACCACTGCTGCTCCACCAAATTGACTCCCTCACTCACCAGCCACACAACACCAGCTGCTGCTCCACCAAGTTGACTCCCTCACTCACCAGCCACAACAACACCAGCTGCTGCTCCACCAAGTTGACTCCCTCACTCACCACCACACAACACCAGCTGCTGCTCCACCAAGTTGACTCCCTCACTCACCAGCCACACAACACCAGCTGCTGCTCCACCAAGTTGACTCCCTCACTCACCAGCCACACAACACCAGCTGCTGCTCCACCAAGTTGACTCCCTCACTCACTAGCCACACAACACCAGCTGCTGCTCCACCAAGTTGACTCCCTCACTCACCAGCCACACAACACCAGCTGCTGCTCCACCAAGTTGACTCCCTCACTCACCAGCCACACACAACTCCAGCTACACAACACCAGCTACACAACACCAGCTACACAACACCAGCTACACAACACCAGCTACACAACACCAGCTACACAACACCAGCTACACAACACCAGCTACACAACACCAGCTACACAACACCAGCCACACACAACACCAGCTACACAACACCAGCTACACAACACCAGCTACACAACACCAGCTACACAACACCAGCTACACAACACCAGCTACACAACACCAGCTACACAACACCATGAAATACACGGTAAGTTATTTATTACAAACAGTTATACCTGACTAACACTTGAGGTTCCAGGTTTTGTTATAGTGGCAACCAAGAAATATAGAGAAAATAAGTTAAACTGAATAATAACAACATTGTGAAAATAAGACAAGACTGTTAACAATTAGCTGATGCAAAGTACAACTGTGAGTGACTTTACGAGGTCACAACAAGTGTGACCTTACGAGGTCACAACAAGTGTGACTTTACGAGGTCACAACAAGTGTGACTTTACGAGGTCACAACAAGTGTGACTTTACGAGGTCACAACAAGTGTGACTTTACGAGGTCACAACAAGTGTGACTTTACGAGGTCACAACAAGTGTGACTTTACGAGGTCACAACAAGTGTGACTTTACGAAGTCCCAACAAGTCTTACTTTGCCAGGTCACAAGTGTTACTTTGCGAGGTCACAACAAGTGTGATCTCTTTATTCCCAGCTCTTGTTTGTCAACAAATTTATATTCACCACTTGCTGTAAACGATGTCTAAAGTTGTCTACTAAGCAAACCATGCAACAAAGACACAAACGAACACAAAGAATGGGTAAATATATTTCTTTGCCCATTATTTATAACACACTAATGTTAGTGAAACAAATATTCTAGGAGGTTACTTGAGTCAGTCCTCTAAGCAACACCTCCTCTCCCCTACAGCTGCTGATAATGCTGCTGCTGCTGCTGCTGTGTCTTCAGCTGACACTTGCTGATCCTCAGTTCGGGGGAGGTGCAGGAGTCTTCATCGGTAGATTTGTACGTAGAAATAAGGTACAGCGCCAGCGCAGTGACCGCAAACAAGCCAGACTACTGCCGTACTACCAGTATGCTTCAGGAGTTCCCTATCCTTATCCCTGTTAATATCAAGGTACGTGGAACAAGTCCCAGCATCTTTTCTAGAACAAGTTACGACCAACACTCAAGTCACAACACCTTGGCTGGAACAAGCCACAACTAACACACACTTCACAACACCTCGGCCGGAACAAGCCACAACTAACACACACGTCACAACACCTCGGCTGGAACAAGCCACAGCTAACATACATGTCACAACACCTTGGCTGGAACAAGCCACAACTAACACAGACGTCACAACACCTTGGCTGGAACAAGCCACAGCTAACACACACACACGTCACAACACCTTGACTGGAACAAGTCACAGCTAACACATACGTCACAACACCTTGACTGGAACAAGCCACAGCTAACACACATGTCACAACACCTTGGCTGGAACAAGCCACAGCTAACACACGTCACAACACCTTGGCTGGAACAAGCCACAGCTAACACACACGTCACAACACCTTGGCTGGAACAAGCCACAGCTAACACACGTCACAACACCTTGGCTGGAACAAGCCACAGCTAACACACACGTCACAACACCTTGGCTGGAACAAGCCACAGCTAACACACATGTCACAACACCTTGGCTGGAACAAGCCACAAGTAACACACAACACTGTGAATCTAGGTGTCTGTTAGCTGATCACTATAACACAGCTCAACACATTACAAGTAACACGTAACGTGATAGTTATTAATGACAAGTTTGACAGTAAATAATACCAGTCTCTTTTCCCAGGTTAACGAGAGCATCAGAAGAAGATAAACTAGTATGTAACCATCATTATAGTGAGAATGTACCTCAGATCAGCGTGGTACTCTCCATGGTACCATAACGTCACTCAAACCATGATGGTACCATACTCTACTTGCTGCAGTATTAACAAGGGCATTACCAAGAGATACAGTCCAGGCACATCCTTCATGTGTTAAACTCGTATGGGTCTCAGAGATGACTGCTGAAGTAACCGTACAGGTTTAACAGATTTTAAATAATAATAGAAAATAAGATTGGGTTCCTTCAGACTGTGACAGTTACATAACGAATGTTCTTAATAACTGTTCCACTTTTATTGTGGCCAAACTGTTACGTTATCACATTCCTATGTGATCTTCGTTACGTAGATATTAGGTACTTACTCTGTTGCTAGCAAGGATTCGATACTGCGTCATCATGCCCAGCCCAATGAGAACAGGACAATGTACCATCAACTCTATCCACGAATCAATGGACAGAGTGATGCGTACATTGTCCTGTTCTCACTGGGCTGGGCATGATGACGCAGGATCGAATCATGGCCAGCTGCAGTTCTGTTAATGATTCAAAATGACTTGTTTCGTGATTTCATTATATATAATATAATATATATATATATATATATATAATATATATATATATATATATATATATATATATAATATATATATATATATATATATATATATATATATATATATATATATATATATATATATATATGAATGGGGTGACAGGAAAGACTTAGTTTCATTAAAATATGTTTATTAATCAGTTCAACTTTTCGGTGAACATTGACCATCATCAGTGTGTTTAATTAATAAAGTTGATTAAAAATAATATATAGACTAAAAAACACACAGGAGAGTGTCACACACACACACATAACATACATACACACACACACACACACACACACACACACACACACACTTACAACAACACATACATACATACAACATAATATATATATATATATATATAATATATATATATATAATATATATATATATATATATATATATATATATATATATATATATATATATATATATATATATATATATATATACTTCAAATTCTGCAGTTAAGTTGGATTTGCAGGTTATATACACTGATAGATGTACATACACTAGGAGCTATATATACACTGACAAGTGTACATACACTAGGAGATGTATATACACTGACAAGTGTACATACACTAGGAGATGTATATACACTGACAAGTGTACATACACTAGGAGATGTATATACACTGACAAGTGTACATACACTAGGAGATGTATATACACTGACAAGTGTACATACACTAGGAGATGTATATACACTGACAAGTGTGTATACACTTCTCAGTTCATATACACTAACCTAACATATAAACATTAAATCCTCATAACATACAATATTCTTGAATGTTAATAAAGAAAATAAGAACAGCATTAAGACCCAACTGAGGTATTTATATCCTTTAAAACAAACACATTAATGTCGAGACACTTATGTACAGCTGTACGTAAGTGTCTTTTTCCATATGCTGTCTGTATCACCATATTTTTCACACTACTAATGTTGTTACAGTTCCATGGTGCCATAACAACATCAGTGATGTTGGTAGATTAATGGAGTTTAAACCCTATCTACTACACGAGGGTCATGAAGGCTGCATGTCACCTCGACACAACTAGTCAAGAATACTTTAATACCTAAAATACACCGTAAAGTTAACTGTTACTGCATATACACTCAAAGATATACATTATGTAATACATTCTTGCTGTAACGAGGTGATTGATGACGGCTACAGCTGATTGTTGCCCTCACAATCCTCACGTTACACTGGAAAAGATCAATGTGTATTAGTAATAATCACCTGATTAATACTTATCATATAATGCGTTGATTATAGATGCAATAATAAGGCAATAAGGCAGCTCATCTTATTTTACAAGTAACCGGTACTTTGGGGAGGAAGGTTTTACATGATGCTTTGGCCAGTCATGATGCGAGTGACGAGTGAGCCGGAAGTGTGGAGTCTGGAGACAGGTTGGGTGAGGAGATGAGATCAGAAGGCAGGTCAGGTCAGGTCAGAGACAGGTCAGGTGAGGAGGTTAGAAGACAGGTCAGGTGAAGAGGTCAAAAGACGGGTCAGGTGAGGAGGTTAGAAGACAGGTCAGGTGAGGAGGCTTAGAAGACAGGTCAGGTGAGGAGGTCAGAAGACAGCTCAGGTGAGGAGGTTAGAAGACAGGTCAGGTGAGGAGGTTAGAAGACAGGTCAGGTGAGGAGGTTAGAAGACAGGTCAGGTGAGGAGGTAAGAAGACAGTTCAGGTGAGGAGGTTAGAAGACAGGTCAGGTGAGGAGGTTAGAAGACAGGTCAGGTGAGGAGGTTAGAAGACAGGTCAGGTGAGGAGGTTAGAAGACAGGTCAGGGGAGGAGGTTAGAAGACAGGTCAGGTGAGGAGGTTAGAAGACAGGTCAGGTGAGGAGGTTAGAAGACAGGTCAGGTGAGGAGGTTAGAAGACAAGTCAGGTGAGGAGGTTAGAAGACAGGTCAGGTGAGGTTAGAAGACAGGTCAGGTGAGGAGGTTAGAAGACAGGTCAGGTGAGGAGGTTAGAAGACAGGTCAGGTGAGGAGGTTAGAAGACAGGTCAGGTGAGGAGGTCAGAAGACAGGTCAGGTGAGGAGGTTAGAAGACAGGTCAGGTGAGGAGGTTAGAAGACAGGTCAGGTGAGGAGGTTAGAAGACAGGTCAGGTGAGGAGGTCAGAAGACAGGTCAGGTGAGGAGGTCAGAAGACAGGTCAGGTGAGTTCAGAAGACAGGTCAGGTAAAGTCAGAAGACAGGTCAGGTAAGGTCAGAAGACAGGTCAGGTGAGGTCAGAAGACAGGTCAGGTAAGGTCAGAAGACAGGTCAGGTAAGGTCAGAAGACAGGTCAGGTGAGGTTCAGAAGACAAGTCAGGTAAGGTTCAGAAGACAGGTCAGGTAAGGTAGAAGACAGGTCAGGTGGGGTTCAGAAGACAGGTCAGTGAAGTCGAGACAGGCAGGTAGAGGTCAGAAGACAGGTCAGGTAAGGTCAGAAGATAGGTCAGGTAAGGTCAGAAGACAGGTCAGGTAAGGTCAGAAGACAGGTCAGGTGAGGAGGTCAGAAGACAGGTCAGGTGAGTTCAGAAGACAGGTCAGGTAAAGTCAGAAGACAGGTCAGGTAAGGTCAGAAGACAGGTCAGGTGAGGTCAGAAGACAGGTCAGGTAAGGTCAGAAGACAGGTCAGGTAAGGTCAGAAGACAGGTCAGGTGAGGTCAGAAGACAGGTCAGGTAAGGTCAGAAGACAGGTCAGGTAAGGTCAGAAGACAGGTCAGGTGGGGTCAGAAGACAGGTCAGGTGAGGTCAGAAGACAGGTCAGGTAAGGTCAGAAGACAGGTCAGGTAAGGTCAGAAGATAGGTCAGGTAAGGTCAGAAGACAGGTCAGGTAAGGTCAGAAGACAGGTCAGGTGAGGTCAGAAGACAGGTCAGGTGAGGTCAGAAGACAGGTCAGGTAAGGTCAAGACAGGTCAGGTAAGGTCAGAAGACAGGTCAGGTAAGGTCAGAAGACAGGTCAGGTGAGGTCAGAAGACAGGTCAGGTGAGGTCAGAAGACAGGTCAGGTGAGGAGGTCAGAAGACAGGTCAGGTAAGGTCAGAAGACAGGTCAGGTGAGGAGGTCAGAAGACAGGTCAGGTGAGGTCAGAAGACAGGTCAGGTAAGGTCAGAAGACAGGTCAGGTGAGGAGGTCAGAAGACAGGTGAGGTGAGGTCAGAAGACAGGTCAGGTGAGGAGGTCAGAAGACAGGTCAGGTGAGGTCAGAAGACAGGTCAGGTAAGGTCAGAAGACAGGTCAGGTGAGGAGGTCAGAAGACAGGTCAGGTGGAGGTTCAGAAGACAGGTCAGGTAAGGCTAAAATTCCTAAATCAATACACGTATCATCCAAACTCACTATTTCCTCGCTCACTGTACAAAAGGACAAGAAAAAAAAAAGCTGAAAAAATCACGAAATCTCCAGACGTCTAAGATGAAATCATGGACTCAGGAATGATAATAACACGACCGCCATGGGTTCGCATCCCATCCCTTCTGTGATTTTATAGATTTTTCAACCTAACTTCTACGAACCTTGGTATGGACAGCAGTGGGGAATGCCGTTTCCCCCGTCATATGGGTGATGTCTATGATAGTGTCGGATGCCCCTTAGATAGTAATGTAAGTGATTTCTTCTGTGTCCAAAGGGATGGGCAAAAGATCCTATATGTGCCAAGTGATGCTGTGGAGCAGCCAGTGTCAGCTGCAGATACAGCATCAGCAGCAGCATTATCAGCAGCTGTAGGGGGAGACGAGGTGATGTTATGAGCACTGACTCCAACATTATAACTTTCCTTACACACATGCAGCGTCTGTCTCACATATATTAACATGTGATAAACACTAATTTGATTTTTTGCTGCCACTTAATAAATCTTATAACAACAAGGTAGTTGATGTTAATGTTTTATACAGAACTTACGCGGTGTGTTCATGGTGAGCAGCGCTGTTCGTTTGTACTTTGTTGCAAGTTGCTATGTACAACTTTAGACATTGTTTAAACATAAGTGGTGATTAATAAATTTGTTGACAACAAGAGCTGTGGAATAAAAAGATCACACTTGTTAGTGACCTCGCAATGTAACATTTTTTTGTTGGTGACCTTCGAACAACTTTGACTGTTACACGTGTGAACTGTAAAGTACAAACAACTGGTAAACACATTGTTGTGACCTCGCAAAGTAACACTTGTGACCTCGCAAAGTAACACTTGTGACCTCGCAAAGTAACACTTGTGACCTGGCAAAGTAAGACTTGTTGGACCTTCGTAAAGTAACACTTGTGTGACCTCGTTAAAGTCACACTTGTTGTGACCTCGTAAAGTCAACTTGTTGTGACCTCGTAAAGTCACACTTGTTGTGACCTCGTAAAGTCACACTTGTTGTGACCTCGTAAAGTCACACTTGTTGTGACCTCGTAAAGTCACACTTGTTGTGACCTCGTAAAGTCACACTTGTTGTGACCTCGTAAAGTCACACTTGTTGTGACCTCGTAAAGTCACACTGTTGTGACTCGTAGTCACCTTGTTGTGACCCGTAAAGTCACACTTGTTGTGACCTCGTAAGTCACACTTGTTGTGACCTCGTAAAGTCACACTTGTTGTGACCATGTTAATGGTTGTCACACTTGTTGTGACCTCGTAAGGTCACACTGTTGTGACTGTAGTCACATTGTGTGACCTCGTAAGGTCACACTTGTTGTGACCTCGTAAGGTCACACTTGTTGTGACCTCGTAAAGTCACTCACAGTTGTACTTTGCATCAGCTAATTGTTAACAGTCTTGTCTTATTTTCACAATGTTATTTATTATTCAGTTTAACTTATTTTCTCTATATTTCTTGGTTGCCACTATAACAAAACCTGGAACCTCAAGTGTTAGTCAGGTATAACTGTTTGTAATAAATAACTTACCGTGTATTTCATGGTGTTGTGTAGCTGGTGTTGTGTAGCTGGTGTTGTGTAGCTGGTGTTGTGTAGCTGGTGTTGTGTAGCTGGTGTTGTGTAGCTGGTGTTGTGTAGCTGGTGTTGTGTAGCTGGTGTTGTGTAGCTGGTGTTGTGTAGCTGGTGTTGTGTAGCTGGTGTTGTGTAGCTGGTGTTGTGTAGCTGGTGTTGTGTAGCTGGTGTTGTGTAGCTGGTGTTGTGTAGCTGGTGTTGTGTGTGGCTGGTGTTGTGTAGCTGGTGTTGTGTAGCTGGTGTTGTGTAGCTGGTGTTGTGTAGCTGGTGTTGTGTAGCTGGTGTTGTGTAGCTGGTGTTGTGTAGCTGGTGTTGTGTAGCTGGTGTTGTGTAGCTGGTGTTGTGTAGCTGGTGTTGTGTGGCTGGTGTTGTGTGTGGCTGGTGTTGTGTGTGGCTGGTGTTGTGTGTGGCTGGTGCTGTGTGTGGCTGTGTTGTGTGTGGCTGGTGTTGTGTGTGGCTGGTGTTGTGTGTGGCTGGTGGTTGTGTGTGGCTGGTGTTGTGTGTGGCTGGTGTTGTGTGTGGCTGGTGTTGTGTGTATCTGGTGTTGTGTGTGGCTGGTGAGTGAGGGAGTCAACTTGGTGGAGCAGCAGCTGGTGTTGTGTGGCTGGTGAGTGAGGGAGTCAACTTGGGAGCAGCAGCTGGTGTTGTGTGGCTGGTGAGTGAGGGAGTCAACTTGGTGGAGCAGCAGCTGGTGTGTGTGGCTGGTGAGTGAGGGAGTCAACTTGGTGGAGCAGCAGCTGGTGTTGTGTGGCTGGTGAGTGAGGGAGTCAACTTGGTGGAGCAGCAGCGGGGTGTTGTGTGGCTGGTGAGTGAGGGAGTCAACTTGGTGGAGCAGCAGCTGGTGTTGTGTGGCTGGTGAGTGAGGGAGTCAACTTGGTGGAGCAGCAGCTGGTGTTGTGTGGCTGGTGAGTGAGGGAGTCAACTTGGTGGAGCAGCAGCTGGTGTTGTGTGGCTGGTGAGTGAGGGAGTCAACTTCAACAGATCCTGGTCAACCAGAGTCCTGTGTGACAGACACTAAATAAATCACTCAACATAGCAGCTATGATGGAAGTCTTTCATCTACACGAGGCTCATAAGACTGCACTACACTCGTGCGCTGATATTTATATTAGCTACATTATAATCTCTATAATGTACATATAAAGTAATTTTAAAATATATATACACTGTGCAGTTCTCTGTATATATACACTGAAAGATGTGTACCTCTCTGCATATATACACTGAAAGATGTGTACCTCTCTGCATGTACACACTGAAAGATGTGTACCTCTCTGCATATATAAACTGAAAGATGTGTACCTCTCTGCATGTACACACTGAAAGATGTGTACCTCTCTGTATGTACACACTGAAAGATGTGTACCTCTCTGTATGTACACACTGAAAGATGTGTACCTCTCTGTATGTACACACTGAAAGATGTGTACCTCTCTGTATGTACACACTGAAAGATGTGTACCTCTCTGTATGTAAAACACTGAAAGATGTGTACCTCTCTGTATGTACACACTGAAAGATGTGTACCTCTCTGCATATATACACTGAAAGATGTGTACCTCTTTGTATGTACACACTGAAAGATGTGTACCTCTCTGTATGTACACACTGAAAGATGTGTACCTCTCTGTATGTACACACTGAAAGATGTGTACCTCTCTGCATATATACACTGAAAGATGTGTACCTCTCTGTATGTACACACTGAAAGATGTGTACCTCTGTATATATATACTGCGGTACATAAAAACCCAGTTAGTTGTTTTCTTTGAGATGGCAGCGTGGTGGTGGTAGTGGTGGTGGTAGTGGTGGTGGTAGTGGTGGTAGTGGTGGTAGTAGTGGTGATAGTGGTGGTAGTAGTGGTGGTGGTAGTGGTGGTGGTAGTGGTGGTGGTAGTGGTGGTAGTGGTGGTAGTGGTGGTAGTAGTGGTGGTGGTAGTGGTGGTGGTAGTAGTGGTGGTGGTAGTGGTGGTGGTAGTAGTGGTGGTAGTGGTGGTGGTAGTGGTGGTAGTGGTGGTGGTAGTGGTGGTAGTGGTGGTGGTGGTGGTGGTGGTGGTAGTGGTGGTAGTGGTGGTGGTAGTGGTGGTAGTGGTGGTGGTAGTGGTGGTAGTGGTGGTGGTAGTGGTGGTGATAGTGGTGGTGGTCTCAGTAGTAGCACCAGTTCCTAGTAACCAGTTACCAGTAACCAGTGTACCAGTAGATGACTCACTACCAACCGTCTCTGCTTGAATCACTGTCTGTATTCATATTGTGCTGACCACAGCAGTATTCAAACACCCCCTCACATATGGGTACTGGGGTTAGTTAGTCTTACGAGTGAGAGCAAGGAGGCAGGTCGCGGCTGTTTGGCGCTTCACATACTTTCAGTTCCAATATACCTACTTCCAGCCTACGTGAGTATTTTTACCCAATCCACGTGTTCGAACCCCACATGATAAATGGTGGCAACGGTGTGGGAGCGTGGATTTAAGCTTTTTAAGGGTATTTCAAGACGTTAGAAGACTGTTTGTGAGTAGCCGGTGGGTCAAAAGGTGAACCGTCTTACCCATCTCCAGCTACTCGCTCCCCTCACAACCTCCAGCCTGCAAGCCTGTTGCAGCTGTTTTTCAAGCTTCCTGGCTTAGTTCGTGTGCTAATTGCTTCAATCTCCGAGGGGTTGACCCGGATTTTGCAATTAAGCCAGTCAGTAAGCCAGACTGTGGAGAACGCCAGTCAGCCTGTCATCCAGCCTGTCTCCTGTCATCCACCTCATCTACCTGTGGCTGTTTGCACCCTTGTACCGGCTCCTAATACTGTTTTGGCTCACATAATTTGTCAAGAGATTGTAGCTGAGCACCAACGATAAAGCCAGTTATGTGAGTTCACCGAGAAAGCGCATTTCTTCCGACAACAGTGAGTGTAGGAGGCGTCAGTCATCTACTGGTACACTGGTTACTGGTAACTGGTTACTAGGAACTGGTACTACTACTGAGAGTGGTAGTAGTGGTGGTGGTAGTGGTGGTGGTAGTGGTGGTGGTGGTAGTAGTGGTGGTGGTAGTGGTGGTGGTAGCGATGGTGGTAGTGGTGGTGGTAGTGATGGTGGTAGTGGTGGTGGTAGTGGTGGTGGTAGTGATGGTGGTAGTGGTGGTGGTAGCGGTGGTGGTAGTGGTGGTGGTAATGGTGGTGGGTAGTGGTGGTGGTGGTAGTAGAGGTGGTGGTAGTGGTGGTGGTAATGGTGGTAGTAGTGGTGGTGGTAGTGGTGGTGGTAGTGGTGGTGGTAGAGGTGGTGGTAGTGGTGGTGGTAGTAAGTTTATTCAAGTACAAGTACACATAAATAGTTACATAAATAAGATAAGAAAGAAGGAACACTGCAGCAGGACCACTGGCCCATGCGAGGACCACTGGCCCATGCGAGGACCACTGGCCCATGCGAGGCAGGTCCAATTACCATGCATAGCAGCATATGTACTCACCTAATTGTACTCACCTAACTGTGGTTGCAAGGGTCGAGACTCAGCTCCTGGTCCCGCCTCTTCACTGAGTGCTACTATGTCCTCTCTCTCCTTGCTCAATGAGCTTTATCATACCTTGTCTTAAAGCTATGTATAGTTCCTGCCTCCACTACATCACTTGCTAGACTATTCCACTTCCTGACTACTCCATGACTGAAAAAATACTTCCTAACATCCCTTTGACTCATCTGAGTCTTCAGCTTCCAATTGTGACCCCTTGTTTCTGTGTCCCATCTCTGGAACATCCTGTCTCTGCCCACCTTGTCTATTCCACGCAGTATTTTGTATGTCGTTATCATGTCGTTATCATGTAGATTACCTAGGATAATCCCCCCAAAAGTCAAGGTGACTGTTAGTGTTAGTGGTGGTGGAAGTGATTGTGGTGGTGATTTATTGATCAGGAAACAATACAGTGCTCCCTGACACAGGTCATTGTCAGATGGTGACTCGTCACTGCTGTAACATCCGCTGGCCTGTCCATGTTACGTGTCCCGTTACAAAAATTTAAGTTCATACTTTACACAGTGTCTTTCCACTGCCAGAGTTTCTGTTGCAAGAAAACATCACTGTTGTACATTTATACAACAGTCACTGAAAAAGTCTGTTGCATCAGGAGAAGTTTTTCTCTGTTTTTGGGTATTTCTTTTGAATCATTGCGTCAGATATACATCATCTCTCCAAAGTATATATGCAAAACTAAATACATAACCTGAGTGTTCACTTATACATCTGAATTACAGCAAGTGTAATGCAGTATATGTATGAACGTCACTGAGACACAAGACATGTCTCAGACTCTGAGAGAGTATGAAGTACCTGAGTGGTGGTGTTAGCAGCAGGTACCTGAGTGGTGGTGGTGTTAGCACCCGGGCAACAGAGCTAGAGTGAGGTTGTCGTGTGACTGAGAGAGAGAACTGGCTCCTTATGGGTGCGGGAGGCAGGGAGGAACCACGAAGCCAGGGTAATATATTGGCTAAGATCATCCAGTACGATTTGGCACCTAACTCCGTCCCTCTCAAACATACCCAGCACGGTAAGACACATATGCAACAGTTAGACAACTTTATTCCGAAACGTTTCGCCTACACAGTAGGCTTCTTCAGTCGAATACAGAAAGTAGGCAGGAACAGTAGAGATGTGAAGACGATGTAATCAGTCCATCACCCTTAAAGTCGTAGAATTTGAGGTTGTCAGTCCCTCGGCCTGGAGAAGTTCAGTTCCATAGTCAGGAACTATCTGTTCCTGCCTACTTTCTGTATTCGACTGAAGAAGCCTACTGTGTAGGCGAAACGTTTCGGAATAAAGTTGTCTAACTGTTGCATATGTGTCTTACCTAACAACCTGTCGGTATTGTATACCATTTTGATGTTTATACCCAGCACGAACGAGAGCTTGCGACATACCATGGAGGAAGTGGGGGCAGGGGACATAGTCATAATATGCGGAATACTTAGAGGAGTAGACAAAGTAGATATTGATAGACTTTTGACAACAAGACGAACAACATAGAAAATGAATGATAATAAAACCTGATTTAATTATTTTTCCACCATGGACTTCGTTCATGCGGTTTTCCGGGGCTTTTGAAAATCAATTAGATGGTTAAAATCTCTCATATAAATAAACAAAGCATTAAAATCTTGTCCACTTCTAGTGGAATATATATGATGTTGTAATCTTAGTTCAAGACTTTTCCCAGTTTGTCCGTAATAAACTTTATCACATATTTCACAAGGAATCTTATAGATACGACTGTCAGCATTTTTGGGAGAATTTGTAATCAAATTTTTTTTTTACCGTAACTAGATTTTTAAATACAACTTTGATATTAGAATTCTTAATCAGAGGTGTATCAGGAAAATTTTCATGGTAAGGGCCAAGGCTGAGGGACTGATTACCTCATCTTTTGTATACAGTCCTTTTGTCTTGTAGTTATGTCCTTGAATTTGTTTTGAGACACTCAGAAAGACTAAGATTCACACAGAGATAATCAGAGGCACTTCGAGACACTTATGAACAATCAGAGACACTGAGAGACACTTATGAACAATCAGAGACACTGAGAGACACTTATGAACAATCAGAGACACTGAGAGACACTTATGAACAATCAGAGACACTGAGAGACACTTATGAACAATCAGAGACACTGAGAGACACTTATGAACAATCAGAGACACTGAGAGACACTTATGAACAATCAGAGACACTGAGAGACACTTATGAACAATCAGAGACACTGAGAGACACTTATGAAACAATCAGAGACACTGAAGACACTTATGAACAATCAGAGACACTGAGAGAGACACTTATGAACAATCAGAGACACTGAGAGACACTTATGAACAATCAGAGACACTGAAGACACTTATGAACAATCAGAGACACTGAGAGACACTTATGAACAATCAGAGACACTGAGAGACACTTATGAACAATCAGAGACACTGAGAGACACGTAGAGACAATCTGAAAGCTGTAATGGAAGTAGTAATACGAAGAAACTTAAAAGTTCTCTAATATACACTAAATACTACGTATGACATATTTTGCAGATGCAGTTTTAATTACACACGCATACACCGTGAGGTGTATGCATACAATGATACATAAATATACACTTCTCAGTGTATGACTTGATCACTTTGTTAAGACAAAGTATTACTGAGAGTCAGTGTACAGGAGTGTGTCAACACAACCTCCCATGCGAAGTAGAGTATGGTACCATCACAACACTGGTGATGCTGTGGTTCCATGCAGAGTATGGTACCATCACAACACTGGTGATGCTGTGGTTCCATGCAGAGTATGGTACCATCACAACACTGGTGATGCTGTGGTTCCATGCAGAGTATGGCACCATTACAACACTGGTGATACTGTGGTTCTACGCAGGTTATGGTACCATCACAACACTGGTGATGCTGTGGTTCCATGCAGAGTATGGAACCATCACAACACTGGTGATACTGTGGTTCCATACGGAGTATTTGCTAAGTTGGTCTTGTAGTAAATGGTTCCTGTAGTGAGGTGATCAGTGATGGTTATAGAGGCTAATTGATCCTCTCATGTCTTCCCCTTCCCTTTTTTGAAAAGTTAAATTTTTCACCAGTGCGGGCCCGCACTCAGTTCACACATGAGGTCCTTGGTTCGATCCCCGGTTTAACGGGTAAAAACATCGGGAAATGTTTTTCCCTTTTAAGACACCTGCTGAAACATTTTTCACCTAGCATTTAAAATAGGTAAAAGGGGGTTTTGGGTTTTAAGTGAATGGTGGGGGGTCCCCATCCGGGGAAAAAATTGACCTAATTTGGGGAAATCCCTCGCATAAAAGGGGCTTTGTATAAGTAGTATGTCCCCGATGTAAACCGATGGTTGTTTTTCCTTTGTCCCTTGTACCGGTAGAAATAAACATATTTTTTTAATAATATTTTTATTTTTCAAAAAAAGCCAGCACACCCTTGATTCAAAAGGGTTTAAGCCAGCACACCCCTTTGGGATTCACAAATTTAAGCCAGCAAAACCCCTTGATTCAAGAGTAACCCAGCACACACCTTTGTTTCACAAGAGAAACCCAGCACACATTTTGTTTTCAAATAGAAACCCCAGCCACCCCTTGTTTCAAAATTTAGTAACCCCAGCACACCCTTTGGTTTCCCATTTTTGTAACCCAGCCACACACCTTGTTTAAAAACAATAGTAACCCAAAGCAAAACACCTTGATTAACAATAGTAACCCCAGACACCCTTGATTCACAAATTAAAAGCCAGCACACACCTTGATTCACAAAAAAAGGGCCAGCACCACCTTGATTCACAATGGTAAGCCAGCAAAACCCCTTGATTCAAAAATGTAAGCCACAACACTTGATTCACAATGTAAGCCAGCACACCCCCTTTGATTCAAAATAGAACCCAGCACACACCTTGATTCAAAAATAGTAACCCCGCCCCAACCCTTGATTCAAAAATAGTAACCCGGCCACACACCTTGATTCAAAATTTGGGAAGCCAGCAACCCCTTTGATTCCAATAGTAACCCAGCCACACCTTGATTCACAAAGCAACCCAGCACCCCCTTGATTCACAATAGTAAGCCGGGCACACACCTTGTTCACAATAGAAAGCCAGCCACACCTTGTTTTCACAATAGTAAGCCGGGCCACCCCTTGATTCCAAGTAAGCCGGCACACCCCTTGATTCAAATAGAAAGGCCAGAACACACCTTGTTTCCCCAAAATTTGCAAGCCAGCACACACCTTGATTCAAAATAGTAACCCGGGCCAAAAACCCCTTTGGGATTCACAATATTTAAGCCAGCACCACCTTGACCCAAAATAGTAAGCCGCACACCCCTTGTTTTCCAAAATTTAGTAACCCACCCACACCCTTTGATTCAAAATTAGAAAAGCCAGCACCACCTTGTTTCGCAAAAAGTAAAGCCTTTCACACCTTTTTTCACAAAATTTAAGCCAGCCCCCACCCTTGATTCCCCAAACCCAAGCCCACCCCACACATTTTGGTTCACAATATTTAAGGGGCCGGGCACCACCTTTGGGGATTAAACAAAAGTAACCCCCCAAAACCCCACCTTTTTTCAAAAGGGGGTAAGCCAGCACAAAAACCTTGATTCACAAAAGTAAGCCACCCAAACCACCTTGTTTTCACAATGAAAAGCCAGCACCCCCCCTTGTTTCCAATTTTTGCCAGCACACACCTTGATTCACAATGAAAAGCCGCACAACCTTGTTTCAAAAAAGTAACCCGCAACCCCTTTGTTTCCCCAATTTAATAAGCCCCCACACCCCTTGTTTCCAAAATTTAAGCCGGGCACACACCTTGATTACAATAGTAAGCCGACACACCTTGATTCACAATAGTAACCCAGCCACACCTTGATTCACAAAAGTAACCCAGCACACACCTTGTTTCCAAGGTAAGCCAGTTCCCCTTATTCAAAAATACAAGCCAGAACACCCCTTGGTTTAAAAATTTGAAAGCCAGCCAAAACTTGTTTACAATAGAAAGCCAGCACACACCTTGATTCACAATAGAAAGGGCCAGCACACACCCTTGATTAAAAATTACTAAGCCAGCACAAAACCTTGATTCACAATGGAAGCCGCACACACCTTGTTTCGCAATAGTAACCCAGTACACCTTGATTCCAAATAAAGAAAGCCAGCCCCACCCCCTTGATTCAAAAGAGAAACCCCGCTTTCCCTTTGGATTCAAAATTTAGAAGCCAGCACACACCTTGTTCCAAAATTTGTAAGCCAGCACACCCCTTATTCACAATAGCAAGCCAGCAAACACATTGATTCACAAAAGCAACCCAGCCCCACCTTGTTTCCCACAATAGAAACCCAGCACAAACCCTTGTTTCACAATATTTAAGCCAGCCCCCCCTTTGGATTCACAATAGTAACCCAAGCACACACCTTGATTCACAATAGTAACCCCAGAACACCCCTTTGTTTCAAAAAAAGTAAGCCAGCACACACCTTGTTCAAAGATAAGCCAGCATACACCTTAAATTCACAATGCAAGCCGCAACCCCTTGTTTTCAAAATTTGTAAGCCAGCACACCCCTTGATTCACAATAGCAACCCCAGCCCCACACCTTGATTCACAATATTTAAGCCAGCAAAAACCCTTTGATTCAAATTTTAAAACCCAGCAAAACACCTTGATTCCAATGGTAACCCACACACACCTTGTTTCCCTTTTTTGAAAGCCAGCAGGAAAACCTTGATTCACAAGAGTAAGCCACCCACAAAACCTTGATTCAAAAAGAGAAAAGCCAGCACACACCTTGATTCACTAAAAAAGCCACCAACACCTTGATTCACTATAAAAAACCGGCACACACCTTGATTCACAATAATAAGCCAGCCCACACCTTGTTTTCAAAAGAGTAAGCCACAAAAAAACCTTGATTCAAAAGAGTAAGCCCACCCCCCACCTTGATTCACGTTATTAACCCGGGCACACACCTTGATTCACAATAAAAAACCCCAGCACACCCCTTGTTTTTCACAATATTAAAGCCGCAAAACCCCTTTGTTTCACAATTTTTAACCAGACAAAACCTTTTGATTCACAATAAAAACCCAGAAACACACCTTGATTCAAAATATTATTAAGCCAGCACACCCCTTTGGATTCACATGAGAAAGGGCCAGCACCCCTTGATTCAAAAGGAAAGAAAACCCACACCCCCTTGTTCACAAGAGTAAGCCGCACACCCCCTTGATTTCACAAAAAAATTTAACCCCGCACACACCTTGATTAACAATAATAAGCCGCACACCCCTTTGGGATTCGCATATTAACCCAGCCACACCTTGTTTTCACAAGAGTAAGCCACCCACCACCTTGTTCTCAAGAGTAAGCCGGGCACACCCCTTGTTTCACAATAATAAGCCAGCACACCCCTTGATTCCAATATTAAGCCAGCCACCCTTGTTTCCCTAAAGAGAAAACCCAAGCACACACCTTGATTCAAAAATAATAAGCCAGCACACCCCTTTGGGTTCACAAAAATTTAAACCCACCCAAAACCCCTTTTGTTTCAAAATTTAATAAGCCAGCACACACCTTGTTTCCCCAAAATAATAAGCCAGACAAAACTTGTTTCCCAAAATTTATTAAGCCACCCACACCCCTTGTTTCACAAATTAAGCCGGCACACCCCCTTGGGTTTCACAAAAAAAGGCCGGCAAAACCCTTTGGATTCACTTATTAAGCCAGCACACAATTTGGATTCAATAAAAACCAGAACCATCTTAAATTCACAATATTAAGGCAGCAACCCTTGATTCCCAAAATTTATTAAGCCAGCACACCCCTTTGGGATTCACAAGAGTAAACCAGCACACCCCCTTTGATTCATTTTAAAAAAGCCAGAAAACACCTTGATTCAAAATAATAAGACAAACACACCTTGATTCATTTTTAAAAACCAGCCAAAACCCCTTTGGATTCCAATAATAAGCCAACACAAAACTTGTTTTCCCCAATAATAAGCCGGGCACACCCTTTGGGATTCAAAAGAGTAAGCCAGCCACCCCTTGATTCACTTTAATAAGCCGAAACACACCTCGTTTCACAATAAAAAAACCAGTACCCCACCTTGATTCCAATAAAAAACCATTTAAACACCTTGATTCCCCAATAAAAAACCCATTTCCACCCTTTTGTTACAAAATTTAACCCAGTAACACCTTGTTTCCCAAAAATAAAAAAACCAGTCCCACATTTTGATTCAAAAAAAAACCAGTAAACCCTTGTTTCACAATAAAAAACCCAGTACACACCTTGTTTCCCACAATAAAAAACCCATTCCACACCTTGATTCACAAAAAAAACCCGTACACCCCCCTTGATTACAATAATAAACCTGTACAAAATTGTTTCCCCAATAAAAAACCAGTACACACCTTGATTCACAATAAAAAACCCATTTACAACTTTGATTCACAATAAAAACCGTACACACTTTGATTCACAAAAATAAGCCAGAAACCCCACCATGATTCAAAATTTAATAAACTATTTCACCCTTGATTCCCAATTTAATTTAAACCAGTACACACCTTGTTCACAATTTAAAAAAACCAGTAACACCTTTTTTCCCAAAATTTAAAAAACCCGGTACACACCTTGTTTCCAAAATTAAAAAACCCAGTCCCACGTTTTTGTTCACAAAAATTTTAAACCGTACACCCCTTTGATTCACAAAAATAAACCTTTTACCCCCTTGTTCAAATAAAAAAACCAGTACACCCCTTGATTCCAATAAAAAACCCATTTCACCCTTGATTCAAAATTTAAAAAACCAGTACCCCACCTTGTTTACAATAAAAACCGTACAGGGCCTTGCTTCACAATAATAAACCTTTACAACCTTGATTCCAATAATAAACCAGAAACCCGCCTTGTTTTCCAATAAAAAAACCACCCCCCCACCCTTGATTCAAAAATAAAAAACCCAGTAAAACACCTTGATTCACAAAAATTAAACCATTTACAAAACTTGATTAACAATAAAAAACCCAGCTCCGCCTTGTTTCACAATAAAAAACCAGCACACCCCTTGATTCCAATAATAAACCAGTACACCCCTTGATTAAACAATATAAAAAAAACCCCCCCAAAAAAAAGTACATCCTTGATTCACAATAATAAACCAGTACACTCCTTGATTCACAATAATAAACCAGTACACTCCTTGATTCACAATAATAAACCAGTACACACCTTGATTCACAATAATAAACCAGTACACACCTTGATTCACAATAATAAACCAGTACACACCTTGATTCACAATAATAAACCAGTACTCACCTTATAATGTTTCACTCCGTCATGATACATTATCAAGTAACGACTGAAGAGTATACTTAATGTGGAGGAAGTCAGAAGACAGGTCAGGTGAAGACTTGAGGTCAGAAGACAGGTCATATGAAGAGATAAGGTCAGAAGATAGGTCATGTCTTCACCTGACCTGACTTGCTGTGGTTTACTCAATTTTCTCCATCAATTGTGACTTAATAATGGCCAAGGACAGACCGAAACGCACTTCTCTTGTGACATGTGGCAGCCACATTACCGTGACCTGGTCTATACACGTTGACATTAACAGTAATATGGGTTGGCGAATCCATAAGCATATTGATAAGGTTGTTGATAGCTGCCATGTAGACGGTGATGTCGCAGGAAGTAGCGTAAGTGATTTCTTCTGTGTCCGAATGGATGAGGTCCTGGATGTGTCAAGAAATGTTGTGGAGCAGCCAGTGTCAGCTGCAGACACAGCATCAGCAGCATTATCAGCAGCTGTATGGAAGAGGAGGTGTTGTTTAGAGGACTGACTCAAGTATTGTAACCTTATACATAGGATGCAATGTTTTTTTCACCAATATTAGTGTGTTATAATAGGCAAAACATACATTTACTCATTTTGTTCGTCTGTGTCTTTGTTTCATGGTTTGCTAGGAGATATCTTTAGACATTTTTTTACAGTAAGTGGTGTATACAAGTTTGTTGACAAACAAGATCTGGGAATAAAGAGGTCACACTTGTGACCTCGTAAGTCACACTAACAGTTGTACTTTGTGTCACCTTATAGTTGACAGTTTTGACTCGTTCTCTCACTTATTATTTTTGTAAGTTATTTACTCTAAAGTTTTTCGTTGTCACTATAACAAAACCTTTAACCTCAAGTATTAGTCAGATATAACAACTGTTTGTGATGCATAACTTACCGTGTATTTCATGGTGGAGCAGCGGCTGGTGTTGTGTGGCTGGTGTTGTTTGGCTGGTGTTGTGTGGCTGGTGTTGTTTGGCTGGCGTTGTTTGGCTGGTGAGTGAGGGAGTCAACTTGGTGGAGCAGATCCTCGTCAACCAGTTCTGTTTTACAGACACTAAATAAATCACTGAACATACCAGCTATGATGGAAGTCTATCAACCACATGACGGTCATTAAGGCTGCATATCACATGTACACTATCGTTCAACTGTGCTTTAATATCCGAAATAGACATTAACGTATATGTAAATTATATTCACTGAGAGACGTGTAAGTCAGCATATAAACATTGTGGTGGTGTTATGTTTGACGTGATAAACCTTTAATTAATTACATCATAAGTCAGGAAAATTTAAGTGGTGGTGGTAATGGTAATGCTGGTGGCGTTAGTGGTGGTGGTGGTGGTGGTGATGCTGGTGTGGGTTGTGTTAGTGCTGGTGTTAGTGATGTATGACTCACGAAAACGTAATGACATGATTGCAAACAAACCATACCACGGGTGGGGTTAAAACCCGCGATCAGAGAGTTATTAAACTCCAGACGCTGGGCCAGCTGGCTACAATAAGATTCATCCAACTAGGTATATTTATACACCATAGGAAGGTTAGCATAAGCACCACTGTGACCACAAATGCAAGTTTAAATATACCTAGTTGGGTGAATCTTATTGTGACCAGCTGGCCCAGTGGCTAACGCGTCGGTCTGGAGTTTAATGACTGATCACGGGTTCTAACCCCACCCATGGTATGGTTAGTGATGGTATGATGTTTGTGTTATAGTTGTAGTGATGCTGTGTGTTGTGGTTAGTAATGGTGTAGTGGTGGTGATTATGTCGACCAATCAGTATTGTGTGACAGGTGTCATTGTCAGATGGTAACCGTATACTGTGATCTCGTCTGCCCCTGTTAAGTTTGTGTCCGTTAACAATAAAATTAAGTTATTCCTTAATCACAGTGTCTCGTCTACTGCCAATGTCTGTTTGAAGTAGATTAGATTTTGTCCACAGAAAATGCTTTTATTGTGACACAATCCTCCTGTGGCGTACGCGAAGCAATCCTCCTGTGGACGTAGGCGAGTAGATATTGCCACCTGTGACGTAGCGCAGTATTCCATCTGTGGACGGTAGCGCAGCATATCCATCCTGTGGACGGTAGCGCGAGAGCATATGGATACACAAAAGGCCTAGGAACTAGGCCCCAAAGGGTTAACAGGAATACATATGGATTTATATCTACATATCTGTAGTTCACTTATATGTTTCAAGCAAATTTAGGAAATTTGCTTAGTATATCTGGTATCTTATTTTCATCAATAAGATATCTTGACATGTCACATAGGTTATTATACTGTCTGTCTCGGTATTCCTCAATAAGTGGACAATTAAGCACATAGTGTTCAAGACAGCATCACTGTTGTACATTTATGCAACAGACTGTTTCAAGTTAGTAACTTGAAAAGTCTGTTGTCTCAGGATATGTATGAACGTCACTCTGAAAGAATGTGAGGTACCTGAGTGGTGGTGTTAGCAGCAGGTACCTGAGTGGTGGTGTTAGCAGCAGGTACCTGAGTGGTGGTATTAGCAGCAGGTACCCGAGTGGTGGTATTAGCAGCAGGTACCTGAGTGGTGGTGTTAGCAGCAGGAACCTGAGTGGTGGTGTTAGCAGCAGGTACCTGAGTGGCATACTTGGAGAAGGTTTCGGGGTCAACGCCCCCGCGGCACTGTCTGTGACCAGGGCTCGTAGTGGATCAGAGCCTGATCAACCAGGGTGTTACTGTTGGTCACACGCAAACCGATGTACGAACCACAGCCTGGCTGATCAGGCACTGACTTTAGGTGCCTGTCCAGCGCCTTCTTGAAGACAGCCAGGGGTCTATTTGTAATCCCCCTTATGTATGCTGGGAGGCAGTTAAACAGTCTTGAACCCCCGATACTTACTGCGTTTTCTCTTAGGGTACTCGTAGCGCCCCTGCTTTTCAGTGGGGGGATGATGTTGCATCTCCTGCCGAGTCTTCTGCTTCCGTAGGGAGTGATTTTCGTGTGCAAATTTGGGACTAGTCCGTCTAGGATTTCCCAAGTGTAAATTATCATATGTTGTTCTCGCCTGATCTCCAGGGAATACAAATCAAGGGACTTCAACCGTTCCCGGTAGTTTAGGTGCTTTATCGTACTTATGTGTGCCGTGGAAGTTCTCTGTACATTCTCCAGGTCTGCAATTTCGCCTGCCTCGAATAATGCTGTTAGTGTGCAGCAATATTTCATCCTAAAGAGAACAAGCGATTTAAAGAGAATCATCATGGGCTTGGCATCCCTAGTTTTGAAGGTTCTCATTATCCATCCTATCATTTTCCTAGCGGATTTGTTAGATACATTATTGTGATCTTTGAAAGTGAGATCCTCTGACATCATCACTCCCAGTTTCTCGCTCTATTGTGTGATTGGAATTTCTTTTGTACTCAGATACGGTTTGAATTTCCTCGAGTTTTCCATATCGGAGTAATTGAAATTTATCTTCATTGAACTTCATATTGTCTTTTTGAGGCCCATTTAAAGATTTGGTTGATGTCCGCCTGGAGTCTTGCAGTGTCTTCGATGGATGATACCGTCATTCAAATTCGGGTGTCATCACAAAGGAAGACACGGTGCTGTGGCTTACATCCCTGACTATGTCAGACATGAGGATGAGGAAAAGATGGGAGAGAGCACTGTGCATTGTGGAACAGAACTTTTCACCGTAGCTGCCTCGGACTTCACTCTGTTGACTACTACTCTTTGTGTTCTATTTGTTAGGAAGTTGTAGATCCATCTACCAAGTTTTCCTGTTATTCCTTTATCATGTATTTTGTGTGCTATTACACCATGGTCACACTTGTCAAAGGCTTTTACCAAGTCTGTGTATGCTACATCTGTATTTTGTTTGTCTCTAGAGTATCCAGGACCTTGTCATAGTTGTCCAGTAGTTGGGACAGACCCATGTTGCCCTGGGTTGCGTAAATGATGTGTATCTAGGTGGCTGGCTATCTTGCTTCTTAGAACCTTTTCAAAGATTTTTATGGTATGGGATGTTAGTGCTATCGGTCTGTGATTCTTTGCAAGTGCTTTACTGCCACCTTTGTGGAGGGGGAGGGGTATATCTGTTGTTTTTAGTGACTGTTGGATGACAGCAGATTAGCAGCAAGTACCTGAGTGGTGGTGGTGTTAACAGCAGCCAACAGCGACCTGGGGAACAGAGCCAGAGTGAGGCTGTCGTGGATGTGTGACTGAGAGAGAACTGACTCTTATGGGTGCGGGAGGCAGGGAGGAACCAGGAAGCCAGGGCAATGTATTGGCTAAGATCATCCAGACCGTTTTGGCACCTAACTCCGTCCCTCTCAAACATACCCAGCACGAACGAGAGGTTACGACATACTATGGAGGAAGTAGGGGAGGAGGGACATACGAAATACTTAGTGGAATAGACAAAGTAGATATTGATAGACTTTTAACAGCAAGAGGAACAACCCAGGGACACAAATGGAAACTCAACACACTTAGGAAATATGTCTTCAGCGTCAGGTCAGAAGAAAACTGAAACACACTAGAGATATACAATAGAAGCTCAAGGCAATAGCAGACTCAGGGAAGCTAAATCATTAGTAATATTTTTTAGGAATTCCACTGCTTGCGGAGATAAGACAAGAATAACAGAGTTGGGTGGAGCGCATCTTCCACGAACCCAGAAAATGGTTGAACTAGCACACTGCCGGAGATTAATCAAGAAATTGTATCTAACAAGTTGTTAACAAAGTACCTGACAAGCTGTTAACAGAGAATAACAGTTAGGGAGGAAGAGTCAGAATGGGCAAAAGTAAAGTGTGGGGCACCACAAAGCTTGTACTGGATCTTATTTTTGTTTGATAGCGTAAACGATCTGATTGAAAGAATAGCAATGTATGGAAAATAGCTGTTGGAGTTTAACCTGGGTAAATATATATATATATATATATATATATATATATATATATATATATATATATATATATATATATATATATATATATATATATATATATATATATATATATATATATATATATATGCAATAAGAACACAGTAAACAGGTGATGCTACAATATGCAGAACAATCACTGTGAAAAAAATAGTGAAATCCCAAGCGCTTTCGTTATTTCTCACATTATTATAGAAACTATAAAATTAAAAGCTCAACAGAAGACATATAGGGGGGGGGGGAGATTACACTTCACGGTCAACATACAACACCTCAACCTTTTATGATGATGTGGGTGAGGTGGTCAAGGACCTGCCAGGCGCACCTTATATTCTACCCAGGATTTAAGATTTTAACTTGTCGAATATATCTTAAATTCTTCCCAAATTCAAATTAAATGATCAATTTGTATTTCAACATTCATTTAATTTCAACCTATTTTTTTAATGAAACCTGACTCCATTATATTCCTCTGGACTTTTGGAAATCCATTGGATGGTTAAAATCTCTCAACTGAATAAACAGAGCAATAGAATCTTGGCCGGTTCTAAAATATTTGTTATTGGGATTTTAGTTCAAGACTTTTCTCAGACTGACCGTTTACCTAGAGTTTACCTGGGGAGGTTTTCGGGGGTCAATGCCCCCGCGGCTCAGTCTGAGACCAGGCCTCGTGGTGGATCAGGGTCTGATCCACCAGGCTGTTACTGCTGGCCGCACGCAGTCCAACTTAGGAACAACAGCCCGGCTGGTCAGGTACTGACTTTAGGTGCTTGTCCAACACCTTATTGAAGACAACCAGGTGTCTTGAAGACAACCAGGGGTCTTGAAGATAACCAGGGGTGTTGAAGACAACCAGGTGTCTTGAAGACAACCAGGGGTCTGAGATAACGGGGTATTGAAGACAACCAGGGGTCTTGAAGACAACTAGGGGTCTTGAAGACAGTCAGGGGTCTTGAAGACAGTCAGGGGTCTTGAAGACATGTAAAGTAAAAGGACACAAGTGCAACTAATGTGACATTTTATTGTGGCAACGTTTCGCTCTCCAGGAGCTTCGTCAGCCATCTTGAAGACAGCCAGGGGTCTTGTGTCATGTAGGGGGGTAATGGAATGACTGGATAAGACAGGGGATAAGGGAGTAATCGGAGGGAGTAGGCAGGAGATGTGAGTCGAGTAACAGGAGAGGAGGTAACGTGAGGTGACTGTAACTGGACCATCACCTCAAATCACCTCTCATTATCTCTACCACCTTACTACTCACCCTCTCAGTACTTGAAATAAAATAACGAATAAAAGAATAAATAACGGGGACGGTGAATATTATTATTCTACTCATAGGAAAGCACTGGTTTGGTAACAGAGTTGTGGATGAGTGGAACAAACTCCCGAGTACAGTTATAGAGGCTAAAACGTTGTGTAGCTTTAAAAATAGGATAAATAAATACATGAGTGGGTGTGGGTGGGTGTGAGTTGGATCTGATTAGCTTGTGCTACTAGGTCAGTTCCCTTGTTCCTTCCTTAAGTGAGTGTGACCTGACCTGACTAGGTTGGGGCATTGGCTTGAGCCGGTAGGAGGCTTGGACCTGCTTCGCATGGGCCAGTGGGCCTGCTGCAATGTTCCTTCTTTCTTATGTTCTTATGTTCTTAATATATTTAGGAACAGGAGAACACTGTTGGGTTTAGACAAATGGGGATGGTATGTATAAACAGTGAGACAGGGAATACAATCAACTGACGAAACAGAATATAACTTAAAATATAGTTCAGAGGACAGTTCACCACAGGAACTCAGCCACACACTAGCCGCAGGTCCCAAGACCTAAACAGCAAGAGCACTGCTCCAGCCAGTACTCTGCCCAGAGTCTCCAACAGAGTCTCCTCCAGAGACTCTCCAGCAGCCCTCTCCCGAGCTCTGCACTCAGGCCAGAGCTCCTCCAGAATCTCTCTCTCTCTCTCTCTCTAGCTGTTTCCTTGATCTTATATGGTCCTTCAAGCATCCACCACTATGAGGTGTGCACCACGTGTTTTAACCTGACTGCAAGATCTGACGCCGTCAAGAACAAAAGACCTGAGAATTAAGCCAAAAGGCGTGTCTGACAGCAATTTGTCAATGCAAGGTGTGACCATTTACTGGTTAATTAGGTCCCCCTCAGAGACCTCACAAGCACAGTGACCTACATCACACTAGCCAGGTGTCTTCAAGATAACCAGGGGTCTTGAAGACAGCCAGGAGTCTTGAAGACAGCCAGGGGTCTTGAAGACAACTAGGGATCTTTAAGACAACCAGGGGTCTTGAAAACAGCCAAGGGTCTTGAAAACAGCCATGGGTCTTGAAAGCAGCTAGGGGTCTTCAATAAAACCAGGGATCCTCAAGACAACCAGGGGTTTTGAAGACAGCCAGGGGTCTTGAAGACAACAAGGGGTCTTGAAGACAATCAGGGATCTTGAAGACAACCAGGGATCTTGAAGAATGCCAGGGGTCTTGAAGACAACCAGGGGTCTTGAAGACAAGCAGAGGTCTTGAAGACAACCAGGGATCTTGAAGACAACTAGGGGTTTTGAAGGCAACCAGGGGTCTTGAAGACAACCAGGGGTCTTGAAGACAACCAGGGGTCTTGAAGACAACTAAGGGTCTTGAAGACAACCAGGGGTCTTAAAGACAACTAGGGGTTTTGAAGACAACCAGGGGTCTTGAAGACAGCCAGGGGTCTTGAAGACAGCTAGGGATCTTGAAGGCAACTAGGAGTCTTGAAGACAACTAGGGGTCTTGAAGACAACCAAGGGTCTTGAAGACAACCAGGGGTTTTGAAGACAACTAGGGGTCTTGAAGACAGCCAGGGATCTTGAAGACAGCCAGGGGTCTTGAAGACAGCCAGGGGTCTTGACAGCCAGGGATCTTGAAGACAGCCAGGGGTCATGAAGACAGCCAGGGGTCTTGACAGCCAGGGGTCTTGAAGACAGCTACGGTTTTTGAAGACAGCCAGGGGTCTTGAAGACAACTAGGGGTTTTGAGGACAGCCAGGGGTCTTGAAGACAGCTAGGGGTCTTGAAGGCAACTAGGCGTCTTGAAGACAACTAGGGGTCTTGAAGACAACCAAGGGTCTTAAAGACAACCAAGGGTTTTGAAGACAACTAGGGGTCTTGAAGACAACTAGGGGTCTTGAAGACAATCAAGGTTCTTGAAGACAATCATGGGTCTTGAAGACAACCAAGGGTCTTGAAAACAGCCAGGGGTCTTGAAGACAGCCAGGGGTCTTGACAGCCAGGGGTCTTAAATACAGCTAGGGTTCTTGAAGACAACCAGGGGTCTTGAAGACAACCAGGGGTTTTGAGGACAGCCAGGTGTCTTGAAGACAACCAGGGGTCTTGAAGCCAACCAGGGGTCTTGAAGACAACTAGGGGTCTTGAAGCCAACCAGGGATCTTGAAGACAACCAGGGATCTTGATGATAACTAAGAGTTTTGAAGACAACCAGGGACCTTGAAGACAATCAGGGGTTTTGAGGACAGCCAGGTGTCTTGAAGACAACTAGGGGTCTTGAAGACAACCAGGGGTCCTGAAGACAACCAGGGTCTTGAAGACAACCAGGGTCTGAGAAAACTAGGGGTCATGAAAACAGCCAGGGGTCTTGAAGACAACTAGGGGTCTTGAAGACAACCAGTGGTCTTGAAGACAACCAAGCGTCTTGAAGAGAGCTAGGGGTCTTGACAGCCAGGGATCTTGAAGACATTCAGGGGTCTTGAAGACAATCAGGGGTCATGAAGACAACCAGGAGTCATGAAGACAGCCAGGGGTCTTGAAGTCAGTAAGGGGTTTTGAAGACAATCAGGGGACTTGAAGACAGCCAGGGGTCTTGAAGACAGCAAGGGTTCTTCAAGACAACCAGGGGTCTTGAAGACAACTAGGGGTCTTGAAGACAACCAGGGATCTTGAAGGCAACCAGGCCTTTTGATTACAGCCAGGTGTCTTGAAGACAACCAAGCGTCTTGAAGAGAACCAGGGGTCTTGAAGACAACTTGGGGTCTTGAAGAGAACCGGAGATCTTGAAGACAACCAGGGATCTTGAAGACAACCAGGGGTCTTGAAAACAGCCAGAGGTCTTGAAGACAGTTAGGGGTACTGAAGACAACCAGGCGTCTTGAAGATAACTAGAGGTCTTGTAGACAACCAAGGGTCTTGAAGACAACCAGGGGTCTTGAAGACAGCCAGGGATCTTGAAGACAACCAGGGGTCTTGAAGACAACTAGGGGTCTTGAAGACAACCAGGGGCCTTGAAGACAACCAAAGGTTTTGAAGGCACCCAGGGGTCTTAAAGGCAACCAGGGGTCTTG